TGACGGCTTTGCTTTCTGTGAGTTTCCCGCTTTGGATTAACGCACAAGTGCCGCACCTCCTAATGTGCCTGAACAGCCCCTGACAACTCGCTTGCTTACAGCCATCCTCATGATCGGTTGCCCATGCAAAGCTTAGTTTTGCTTTGTACCTAGCTGTGCAGTAGGTTGAGATGGACTGGACCCCCAGGAAGGCTTGGCCAAGCCTCCTGAGTGAAGGTCCTGTGTCATTCAGCCTTGGAGGACTGATGATAAGCCAGTCCGTGGGATCCCTCAGATGGGAAAGACCCCAGCTCCAGCCGAGCTTTGGATGCTGGTTGAGGAAGGATCCTTTCTCGAGACCTTATCTGCTATCTACCATTTCATACAAGGACCACGTAACTGTTTCGAAGCACTTTCTATCTGATGCTTGCTTACCTGCACAACTGTGGTCCAAATCTCTTCTCTGTGGGAACCCCAAGAGAAGGGACATATGGTGCCCAGTTAGTTAGTTAAAAATCCTCCCCACCAAGGGCCTCTCAATTGAAACAAAGATTAAACCGAGCCACTTGAAACAGAACAAGTGGAGAAAGTAGATGCTGGAAACCCCCATCCATGAAAGGCAGTCCAGTCTGCTAGAGGCTGGGATGGGAGCAGCTCTCCCAGGAGATGCAGATCTGTCTCTAGGGATCCAGGACCAGCTCAAGTGTGGGAATAAAGTGAGAGTTCTGCTTTCTGGCCCAGGTGCCTCGCTTCTGATGGCCAGTCTCCTCAATGACCTAATTCCTCGGAGCAGAAAGAGATCTTCATCGCCCCTCTCTGCTTTTCCAGAGCAGCCATATGCCAACCACAGGCAGGAGAGGTGGGCATAGAATATGCAGCTGCAGCCTAGTGGAGGGGTCCCCATAAACGCTCTGCAGTGTTCAAGTATGGTAGGAAGATGCTGCAACCTCCCGGCGGCCTTCGTCTGGCCTCCATTATGCCTGTCCTGTCTAGAGTGCTTGCCCCCAGCTCTCAGCTCAGTGATCACGATTGCTGTTTCCAGAGGGAGAGAGGCCAGAAAGGACATGGGCTACTATGACACAGGGCTGTGTGTGTGGAAGTGCGTTGGTCGAGCAGCAGCAAAGTAGATCAGTGTGTGCTTCCCGATGGTTGGTTGTGCGTGAGTGTGTGTATCTGATGGGTGTGTGTGGGCCCCCAGGGAGTTGGCGGCCATAGATGAGAGGTGTCCATGGTCCTCCCCTCTGCACTGACAGGGAGGCCCCTTAGCATAGGCTAGGGTGGGTGTCTCTCTGCAGGCACTGGTCATGTGGTCAGTGATGAAGCCAAGGTATCTGGTTGTGACTGTAAACAATGTTCTCCTCACTGCTTCGTAGGCTGTCCAAATAGAGGTGGCCCCTTCTATTCTCTGCCCCTTCTTTCTCTGCATTCTTGGGTCAGTTTTTCCCTGGAATTGACAGTCTGGTGGGAGTGTTCAGATCTGCTCGGCTTTTATGGGGCACTCAGGAGATGGGGGAGTGAGAAGCCTTGAGTGATTCCTTTGCAGTGAGACAGATTTCTACGGGCATCTGTTTCCCCGGGTAAGACTTCGTAGGTGGTGATTCCGACACGCTGCGTTCCCAGGCTGGGTACTGCCAGCGGCATCAGCTTCTGGGGTTGGAGAAGTTGGGGCCACTGGGTGTCAGATACAGAAATTCTGGGAAGACCAGTCCCCCGAGTCCTGCCCACCGGGGTTGTCAGAATCCTTCTGGCTAATCTCTCAGGCTCCCAGTTAAAGGGGAGGGTTGGAGGGGCTACTCACCTCCCCAGGAGGGCTTCGGGCTCTACTGCATAGGTTTTAGAAGGAGGTTGCTTGGTTGGACTTCTCTGGGACCTGCGAATAAAACCTCTGAATTACGAGATGTACGTTCACGGTGGAATTCTCTGGTCAGTGGGTGGTTGGAGGTGAGAGGTGCAGAACTAGATTCTCTTTAAGAGCACTATGGGTGGGGGGATTGTACAATAGGAAGAAGAGTCTGATTTATTGCTGAAAAGGTGGCCCCCATCCTTGCATACAGTTTGCTGCACATACTGCAGTGATCAGATGCATCTCTACCCCAACGTGTAAAAAGCTCTAGAGGCTATAGAAGGCTGTGGGGAGACTCCTGACTGCATCTCAGAGACCTCCCCTTATCAAAGGTAACACTTTCCTAATCAGACTCTTGTATTTGCCTGTGGAGGCTTCTGTTCTCTCACTTTAATTTCATTTGCTCGCTGACCCCTAACCCCTGAATTCACCCCGCTGTGCTGCTTCTGGCCTTGCTGAGCTTAGGAACTGGCCTTATGGTGATAATATGGCACTGAACTCTTCTCTAACCTTTGTCAGTTTAATTTACAAAGTTGAATTAACCTTTGATTCTTGCATTTTCTATATTTGACCTATTTTTTTTTCTTTTTATCTATTTTTTTTCTCTGTTTCTGTCTCTTCCTTCTCTTTCCTCCTTCCCCCTCCCTTTCCTGTGTCTGTCGTCACACATATCACCTTGGACGTCACTGGGACATCCCCACTGCCACATTTGTTTTTAAACAACCACATTCTCTCTGGGGACCCATTGCTTGGCACCTGCAGCGACCTTGGGAGGCTCCACCACGTCCTCCACCTTTGTCTCATTGCTTTTCTCTGCAGTGACTCTTCTCTTGCTCTGTTAGGAACTTGAATGCCAAAAAACTAAATTTGCCTAAGAGCCCGGTTCCTATGAGAATGATCAGTGCCCCCTTTGGAAGGATCTGTCAGGACTGCCATGGCCACACCACCAAGTTGTCTGTGCAAGAGGAAGGTTTGGCAATTGGAGAAAGCTGGACCTCCACACCTATTACCCTTCACAGATACTTTTGTGCCACTTCATAAGGAGTTTGCCCCCTTTTTCATAGCAGTATAAAAATGTTTGGGAGCTCTTCTCTTTACACCCTCTCTCTCTCTCTCTCTCTATATATATATATATAAAAAGAACAACAACAAAAAACCATTACATTAGGTTTACAGAAAAGCTTCTGCACATCTGCTACTGGTTGCATTTCTGGTTCTTACCTGAAAATGATGTAGCAGAGAAGGATCTCTAAGTACTCTCTAAAGCTTGCATCAGATTGTTAAAATCACCCCGTGTCCCCATTGTAACCCTGTGCTCCTCTGCTGCCCTTCAATAAGTAGTTGGCTTCGCTTGCATTTAAGTGCCCCTGGTAAGCCCGCTGCGATTCACCGGAGCATTTTGCTGGCATGATGGGCAAAGTAAGTCCCCCTGTTGCCCATGCAGCGGAAGAACTCGGATTTGTTGAGTATTTTCTGGGGCTGATCCAACATTCTGGGAGGCGCTTTGGTCCTGGTAGTATAACCAACACCTGATGCTGGCTCTGTGAACAGGGCCAACCTAGGACGTGCTCGGCACCTATGGGCTCTGGAAGGTGCGTGTCTCCCAGTCAGGGTGATACCTGCTGCATGGCTACAGATCAGTCACTGACCTCATGTCTTGGCGGATGTGGCCCAACTGTGACCCACATTATCACGTAAGCATCAGTCCCCCAGGTTGGAAGCATCTGCTGTGAGCCTGGTGCGAGTCACACCCCCTCCCCACACGTGCTCTGTAGAGCGCGAGGCAGGGCCAGCCCAGAGTGCCCATAAATTGGAACCCAGCCAGCCTGTCATACTGCCCGAGTGCCCCGACCCCCTGTCGGTCAGTGGTTTCAATGACATTTTGAAAATTCTGGTGGAAGCCAGCTGCCCCTCTGCTGTTGAGGGTAGCCCCCGCCATGCCCAGGAGAGGAGGTGAGGTGTGTTTGTTAAAGTTCCCCGTAGAGACTCGAGTGAATCCTGCTCAGTGGCGTCCGTGTCTGAGCTCAGGGGTACCTTCTCCTGAATAAAAACTCCCCCCTCCGTTGTGGTCACATATCATTCCACATATCTCATCTCTGAGCATCTCCACAGAAGTTTGATTTCTGTTCATTTTGGTTTCTTTACTTTTTGGTTCTGTTGTCATTTTTTAATGTTCAAAGACGAGTCTTTCTCTTTGGGAATCCAAATGATCCTGTGGTCTGCGGGGCAGAGCTGCCCGTGGCAGTGGGCACAGGCCCGTGTCCCCAGCGCTGGTAGTTTAGAGGGTCAGGTACACACACCGGAGGCCACAGGCCACCCAACAGCTCAGCCAGGCAGCGCCTCTCGCCCTGGCCCCGTTGGCCTCCAGCCCCGCCGTGAACCTCTCCCCCGGGATCCCCGATCTCCCGTCCCACCATGGCAGCGGGAGCAGACACGGTTCTTAGGCACAAGGCAGAGTATCAAGGAGAGGCCCATGGTGCCTCCGGGCCCGGCGTAGAATCCCAGGGCCATTAGGAAGGCAAAGGAGGGAGACATGGTCCTCACGCAGGCCACCCATCACTGTCCCCTGACTCCCGGCAGGCTCTTGGTATCATCTTTGGCACAAGTTGCATATTCACCCAGGAGGGCCCATCTCAGCGGTCTGCCCCACCCTGGGCCCAGTCCCATAAGCAAGGGCCTATGTCTGTGTTTCTGAAGATCTGGCCCAAAGTGTGGGGAGGTCTGACACCCATGACCCTGTCCCCTCAGCTCATTCTGGGCCAGGCAGGCCTCAGCTGAAGCAACGTGGGGGTCATTGCATTGGCCCCATTCGGATAGGCCCGTGGTTTGTAAGGGACGCCCTTTCGGGAGACAGCATTCAGGCACGCCCGCCCCCACCGGACACTGAGCCACCCTCATGGTGGCTGCAGTCCTCAGCCCTGCCGGGAGCCCCTGAGACAGGCCCTGAAGGAGGGAACGCTCGCTGCCCCGCTCAGCCGCCCTGCCCCCGCGCCCTGTCTCAGTGCTGCCCGATCTCGACACGCCACAGGGCTTCTCTGCTCGTGTTTTGCAATATTTATACGGCAGGTTTGGATCACGTTTTTCTACTAATAAGAATGCTAACATTGTTGTGTAGATAATCAGCGAGGCCTTGATGAAGTTTACACCTTTGCATTATTAAAGGAAATAACAGTTCATGTGAACTCACCAGCGTGTTTGGATTTTATTTGATAGTTGTGTATCCTACAAAGTGCCAAAATCCCTTTGCCTCCACCTCACAGGTACCTGGATTACTTTGATTGCCCCAGAGAGCCCTTTAAATTGGACCCCAAACTCGTAGCTTGCTGAGTGGAGTTCTAGTCAAAGGAATCACTTTCCCTTCCTCATGAGGAGTGATGCAGTTTTCTCAGCTCTCCTAAGAGCTGCTGTGGGTCACCGCCTCCTTGGACTTTCCCCAGCAGACAGGGCGAGGGGAAAGTGCCTTTGCGGAGCCAGAAGGTGGTCACCTTGGGATCAGGGGCACACTCTGGGCCACCAGAACCACAACTGTGTTGCAAGTTCTCGCGATTGCACGGCTCCCGTAACGACTTCATATCCGAGGCTTCACAGAGTGACGTGGTGACAGAGAGAATCTAAGAGAAAGGTCTCATTGGCAAGCCCTATTCTGTTTATAATCACACTTAGTTGGATGCCTCCTGAAAGCCCCGAGACCAGCCGTCTATTCAGCAGATTCCAGGAAGGAACAAGCAGACGAGTGAACCAGAACCTCAGCTTAATTTTTCCGAGAGTCGGAGGCGGGAGGGGGCACTTCTGCACTGATGTCCCGTGACACAGTGACTTGGGCCCCCTCAACTGCAAGATGGGAGATGTCTTCCCATTTTGAGGCATTTATGAGCATAGGCACTTGTAGGTCTCAGTCTTGGGCAAGCCAGGTGTTCAGTGCCGACACCTCCCAGACCAGGAACCACAGAGGATGTGCAGCCCCAGCTTCATAGCCCTACCGTTCAGCGCAGCTCTAAGCCCAGAGGTTGTGGAGGAACTGCTCCCCAGAAGCACTCTATGTATGCAGGTGTGCAGATGGGGTAGCCAGGAGAGGTCAGGGGAGGGTCATGCAAAGATAGACCCCAAAGTTGTTTTCTTTTCCTTTTGTCAAATGTTAAGCAGGATGCAGGAGATAACCTTTGTCCTTCTGGTTTCCTGGACTAAACAATTCTATAGCAGCCACCAAGAGGTAATGAATGTTGGCTTGACTTGGGTACCCTTTCATTTGCATTCTCTGTTTCCTTTATTTACAGTTTTTTGTAAAAGCTCCACACATCCTTTCTCCAGCTTGAGGGGTACCTCACTTCCTCTGGAAGTCTAGACTCTTAATGGTGAACTGGGTGGTCCCTTGGGGATAAGTCTTTTTTCTCTCCATCCATCAAGTACATCAGTTAGGTCAGGGCCACCAGGTAAGACTGCACAGCTCATCCTTGGGTGGGGAGTCATAGGAACAGCTGTTATTCATTGTAATGCAGGCAGAAAACTTAGAAACAGTGGTCCTCAAAGTCTGGGGTGCATAAGAATCGCTGGGGTGCTCCATCAAATCCTGAGCCTGAGCCTCAGCCCCAGAGATTCTGACTTGGTAGAATGGGGGAACCCCAGAATCTGAATTCTTAACAAAGCACCCCAGGAATTCTGCTGCAGGTGGAGAAACATTATGCTGAAAGGTATTTATTTTTCAACTAAAGATAAAATCATAAGACTCAATGAATAAAGATGGGACCTACCAATTGTCTTGCAGGAAAAAGTCCTGCTCGGTACACCCTGTGGAGGACATGGACATTAGGGAATCTGTACCCTGTGCTGGGGACTGTAGGACATCTAACATGCAATGACAGGCCCTTAGAGTTGAAGAGGACCTGAAGACATCCTCTATCCTAGGCTCTGCCCAGTGCAGGAACCTCATCCAGAGCATTATGGTATCCCGGCCAAGGGATTTTCCAGCCTCTTCTTGAATGCCTCTGGCAACAGGGAGCTCTTCCAAGGCAGCTCACACCACACTTAAATAGCTCTTGTGTGTTAGTTCTGTCTCGCGTGAGCTCAAGTTTGCCTCCTACCCCCATAGTTGCCATCCACTAGGGACACTGAATAAGGCTGCTTCCTTCTCATGACACACCTTTAAATATTTGGAGACAGTGTTCTCATCTCCAAGGCTGAACACTGTTCCTTTGTTCAACAAATATTCTTTGAACATTTCTTATAAGTTGGGTTGTCCTAGATGCTGGGGAGACAAGAGACAGGGTACCTGCCAGGATATTCTAGAGGGCGGGGCAGCCAGATAAAAGCATGTCAATGAACAGAAAATGACAGATAGGGGTAAGAGGAGCATAAAACAGGGTAATGTGGTAGGTACTGGGTAGAGGTGCCTGAGTAGATAAGAGGTCGGGGCAGGGGAGGGGGGAACCTCTGCAAGAAGGTGACATTTGAGCTGAACCTGCAAGAAAGCAAAGAGCCACCACAGGGTGCCGGGGCTGGAGGGTTCCAGGCACTATGACAGGAACGGGCTGGGCGTGGTGAGCAGATAGAATGGAGCTGCTCCCGGCTAGAGCACAGGGATTGGAGGCAGGGCTCAGTGCCCTGAGTTATGATGGTCAGAGGAGTGGGAGAGTCCACAGCACGTGTAATACCTTTTAGACCAAGGGAAAGAATTTGAATTTTATATCAAATGAGAGAGAAGACCATTGCCCTACCTTCTGTTTTATATCAGTCTCGTTGCCCTCCTGGCCCTTGGAGGTGTTGGCCTTGGCCTTCAGAGCAGTGCAGCCCTCTGATGGGTCTGCTGAGCCCAGAGCACAGGTGGATAACAGCTGCTTCTCCCACACGGAGAAGCTTTGCAGTGGTTTGCTTTTCTTCCTTAGAGACCTGACTAGTTCCCTAAAACCATATTTATGTATAAACCTCAGAACATGGTGTTAGTGCCTTTGAGTCCAAAAATACAGACATTCTTTCCCCACAAAAATACCTTAGGCTCCTTCTGCAGGAAGTAGACACTATTGGGTATGGGTGTCAGGTGGCCTCCAGCCCTGAGTCATGGGATGGGGAGGAAGCCCAAGGCCGTATTTCTTCCCTGTTCAGGGAAGCAGCTTTGGTATTCTGAAGACCAGGAAGGCCTTAGTGGCTTTCTTTGCTTTTGTGTGTGGATGTGTGAGCGCCATGGGGGAGCAGAGTGGACGGTGTGCTACTGGGGAGAAGACCGGCTCTAGCTGACCGCAGGGACCCGTGGCCGGTTTCCTGCTGCCAAAGCCCAGAGACAGAGTGGTCAGAGCTGGGTCCTCTGAGCATGGAGCCCGTTGCCAGACTCGGGCCTTCCTGGGGAACAGGCTGTGTCTTCAGTGTGGGGTTGAAAGGGACCAGTGGGGGAGCCTGAGGAGGGGCTGGGAAGCAAGAGCAAGGTCCCAAGGAGGCAAAAATATTCAAGATCCTAGGAGGTTCCTCCAGCGCAGGCCCAGCTGAGCCCTGGGTGCCAGGAATTAGGTTGTGAGTGGTCGTCTCTTATGTGCTGGCCAGTGGCCTATACACTGAATTGAAGTTAGAAATAAGGGCCATCAGAATAGGACAGCAGTTGAAGGAGCCCCGCCACGCCTGAGCAGGGCCCCTGGGACACACAGAGGGCCTCCCAGGAGCACAAACCACATGGAGACAGAGTGTGTGGCCCATCTCTGTCACCTTGGGTTACCTATTCTTTCCATTATTTGGCACGTGATGTGGCCAGAGGCCCCTGGGCCTGGCCCAGATTCAGCAAAGGCCCAGTGAGACCCAGGTTGTGTTGGCCACAGTTCCTGCCTCCAGTCAACACACCTGGGTGACCCAAGTGGGTCCGGAGGACACAGGAAGCTTCAGACAAGGTCTGGTGGTACGATGGGGCTGCCCCTCTGGAACCCTGTCCCCCCAGAAGAAAAATGAAGCAGGGTACCCACTTTTCAGCCTGGGGTCATGTTTTCCACACTGGCTTCCACAGAGCTCTGCATGGGTCCTTGCTTCCCCCAGCACAGCCTTCCGCCTGCCAGATGCTGGTGGGAATCACCAAGCGGTCAGGGGTCCACCGCAGGCGCCTAGCACCAATCACGAGGGGGCCCTATGGAGCCGAGCCTGGGGTCCTTCTGTGATACCATCAATAGCCCAGGGCCCCCAGGGGATTCTAGATGGACACCAGGGAGTAAGACACAGAGGTTGAGTCATTCCAGTGAGTCCAGCTAGAGCGGGGATGCTGGGCGCTGCTCAAAGGTGAGAATGTGTGTCCGTCTGTGGTAGGCACGTGTCCTGTGTGAGTGAGCCTGTCGTGCGTGGGTGCATCTCTGGGTGAGTCGGCTGGGTTTCTTGAAATCTGATCCAAGCGTGCCTGGCTCCCAGATGGTGAGTATTCCCTGACCTTCCACCTTGCCCTCTGGGCCTAGCGAGGCCCCCATATCTCCAGAGTAAGTGAGCTTCATTCGTCTTCCTGGTGCAATGAAGAAGGATATGGTCCAAAGTCGGGATCCTCTGGAGCGGCTCCTAAAGAGGGGGAAGGAAGCGCGGAGGTGCACGGGGCGTCTTGATGTGCCTGACGTCACCACAAGCCCAAAGGAAGCCCTGGGAACCCTCTGTCGCCCCATCTGGGACCCTGTCCCTGGCAGCTCCCAGGGCTCACGGGGAGACCAACTGAGTGTGGGTTGAGAGCAGGGATGGGGACACATTGCCCAGTCTCCTCCTGACGTGTGGGTGCCTTGTGCCCTTGTCCCCTGGTCTATGAGAGGAGGCTGCCATCCCTCCCTCTTGAAGAAAGAGACGCTGTTGTCTCAACACCTGGGGGTAGAGAGGCCCCAGGGAAAGTGTCACTCTGAGCACAGATGCCACAGCCGTCCTGTGGGCTCTACCCCACCGCCAGGGCTGTTGCTCAGCAGGTCCAGGTCTGCATCTCATTGTACTAACCAGCACCATCCCTCTCTCCCTCCCCCTCAAGCCAACGGCAGCCCCACCTCAGGCCTGAGCACGGGCGCCATCGTGGGCATCCTCGTCGTCACCTTCGTCCTGCTGCTGGTGGCCGTGGATGTCACCTGCTACTTCCTGAACAAGTGTGGCCTGCTCATGTGCATCGCCGTCAACCTGTGCGGGAAAGCCGGGCCTGGAGCCAAGGGCAAGGACATGGAGGAGGGCAAAGCCGCCTTCTCGTGAGTGCAGACCTGCCCTCTGCTGCGGAGCGCTACACTCTGCCCCGGCCTGGGGCCCAGCGAGGGAACCACCTTAGCTTCCCCACTGGAAACCCCGAGGGGAGCAGAGCATTAGAGAACTGTCTCTCAAAGCATGGTCTTCAGGGGTACCCGTTTAAAAAGCAGACAGCTGGACCCAACCCCACATCTAGAATCACAGAGATGTTTGAAATCCCTCCATAGGTCAAAATGAGGGGAATTGTCAGAGCTAAGCCTGGAGGGGAGCTACCATGGAGGGGTCAGCATTTGAGAGACACACTTGCCTTGCTGCCGTTCATGCATCCATCGTTCAACAAATACTTACGGTGCAGCCGCTACAGGCACGGCACCATCCCCAGGCATTAGGGGACAGCAGCGAACAAAGCAGGTGAAAGTACCTGTCCTCCTGGAGGACGATCCAGCGTCCTCCTGCAGGATGTGCTCCAGCATCTCTGGAGAAACAGATCCTGAGCCAAATAGCAGGAACCTTCACAGACTGTCACTGGGTGGGGCTGAGGTGGAGCGAGGCAAGAAGGGACGGAGCAAGGAAATCAGTTGTTAGCACCACCCCATGCCAGGCACTGTATACACACACACACACGTCATGTACTTATACATGTATGTACATGCACACACACACATGTACACATGTTTTACTTACATATACGTGTCGCTATACTTATACATGTGTGTACTTACATATACTTATACGTATACACATACATACATCATATACTTTCACGTATACATGCTTACATATACGTGCACGTATACTTATATATACATCATATACTTACCCGTGCTCGTACTTAACGCATACGTGTGCGCATATGCGTACATACTTACGTGTACACAAATCTAGATGACTTGAGCACTGGACTGTACCAGGCAGTGTGCTAAGCACCTTATATCCATTATCTCAGTTAATGTTCATAACGTCCAGGCAAGGTAGAGACTGTTATCTGCCCCATTCTCCAGGTGAGGAAACGGAGGTATGAGTGAGCAGGTCACACGGCTAGCAAGAGCGGAGGCTGAGATGCCGCACTTGACTCTGGTTCTGGATCCCACCGCCCCCCCACCCCAGCCTCGAGCGAGGCACAGGTGCCTGAGCCGTAGCTGGCTTCCCTGGGAGCCCCCTGCATCCCCCAGCTCCCTGGGATGGAACCAGCAGAGCTGTCTCCACAGGAAAGATGAGTCCAAGGAACCCATCGTGGAGGTGCGAACTGAGGAGGAACGGACCCCAAACCACGACGGAGGGAAACACACAGAGCCCAACGAGACCACGCCGCTGACGGAGCCCGAGTACGTGGGCGGGGCGGGCTGCCACCTCCTCGGCAGAGCCTCACAGCCACCACGTCACCCTGCGCACAGCTCCATGCTTCCCACCTACGGCTCCCCAGCCGAGCATGGCAGGCTAGAATTCTGGAGTGCTGGGCCAGGAACGCGTGACCCCACCCTCTCCCTAGAGAGGAGGCATTCCTGATTCTACCTGGGTGGCTGTGGATGCCTTAAAGGCTCCGTGCATACACGGGATCCCTAGACGCTGTGCCCAGGTCACACACACATTCTGGAAATGGCTTAAGGAGGCAAAACTTCATTGAGAGAGGCTGAGCTTAGCAGATTCTGTTTAGGATTTCCAAGAATTCTAGGGTTTTCTGCCTTCTTCTTAAAAGGGCGAGGGAAGCTGGGGCCCTGGTAAAAGCTCCCTGGTTCTCCTGGTCTCGGAAGCCTTGGGGACGCCCAGTCAGAGCCACATCCAGCTGTGATGGTAATGACCACGTGGGTATCGTGGGTCCTGTGGGTTTGAAGGAAATGGAGCTTAATGGAAGCACAAAATCTCTGGCTGGACCACCCACAGCCCTGAGGGACCACGTGGAGCCCTCTTCGTCTCCGGGGCAGGTGGGCCCAATTCCCCAGGGACCTAGGTATGACGCCTGCGGTGGTGGACACTGAGCTCCAGCTGGCCTCTCCCTGAGTCAAGACGCAGGCAGAGGTCCGAAAGGGCCGCCAGGGCTGTAGGGAAGGGAGCCCGTGCAGATCGGGCGGGGGAGTCAGCAGGGAGGAAGGTGACAGGCCCTGTTAGACTGCCGAGTTCTCTGTTGTCTCCTGTGTCCTCTTCTGCCCGCCTGGGCGTGTGCTTCCTCTGGCGTCCTCCTCTCTCTGTGGGCCTGTGTCCATGCCTGTGCGTCCCCGCATGCCAGCCCCCGGCCCCCGCCTTGGCCTCCGCCCTTCCTGGCTTCTCTGTCCGTCTCAGCTTCATCGTCTATCTCTTCTACTTCCTGTCCTCCCCACAGGCTGCCTGCTGACACCACAGCCACTGTTGAGGACATGCTGCCTTCTGTCACCACCGTCACCGCTAACTCTGACACTATCACCGAAACCTTTGCCACTGCTCAGAACAGCCCCACCAGTGAGGCCACCACCCTCACCTCCAGTATCGCCCCCCTGGCCACGGCCGCCCCTGATTCAAACTCTGTGCCCGCCGGCCAGGCCACCCCTTCCAAGGGGCCCGGCGTCGCCGCCACCTCCCCGCCCCCAGCCTCAGCCCCCAAGGTCGCCCCCCTCGTTGACCTGAGCGACCCCCCGACCTCAGCCCCCGCCGCCAGCAGCCTGTCCTCTAGCGTCCTGGCAAACCAGGGGGGCGTGCTCAGCCCCAGCGCCCCTGCCAGTGCGGGCGAGGCCCCCAAGGCCCCTCCGGCCAGCAAGCCGGTCCCCCCCCCGGCCGGGGCAGCCGGTCCCCTAGCAGTGGCACCGACGACCCCCACCCCAGAAGTCCCCCAGGCCAAGCAGGAGGCTCCCGGCACCAAAGGTCCGGACCCTGAGCCCACCCAGCCCGGCGCCGCGAAGAGCCCGGCCGAGGCAGCCAGGGCCCTCGCCAGCCCGAAGAGCGAGGCGGCCTCCATCAGCACCACAAACCCTGCCCAGGGCGAGGACTTTAAAATGGACGAAGGGAACTTCAAGACCCCAGATATTGACCTTGCAAAGGATGTTTTTGCAGCCCTGGGCTCTCCTGCTCCCGCCGCTGGGGCCAGTGGACAAGCCCCTGAGCTTGCTCCTTCCACTGCCGACGGCTCTGTTCCTCCTGCACCAGCCAAGACCGAGTACGGCCTCTCTCTGTCCATTGTCGTTGGGTGGTGTCCCGTGGTGGTGGTGTGCGTTTGTGCTGTGTCCTCCCTGTTAGACGTGTCTTCAGCCTACTCCAGAGCTTCTCGGAGGCGACTGTCAGCCAGGGGCTGGGCCGAGGCAGAGGGTGGAGACAGGCAGCAGGCCCGGCAGGCAGCCGCCTGCTGACTAATTAGGCCACGTTAATTAGGTTTTATCCTTATCGTCCTCGCAGTGGCGTCTGTTGCCCCTGGAGGAGCCTTTGCATTCGGGCCACTGTTGAGCGTAGCTTGGGAAGTGAGCTAAGGAGGTCAAGGTGCCCTGATCGGCGACGCTGGGGCCCACAGACAGTGTGTCATCCAGGGCAAGACCGAGTCCCCACCAGAATGGCACGGGTATTCGGGAAGTAAAGAGGCAGACCCTGAGGCTCGTGTGGGGAGAGGATCTGTGTGGTCTAGAAGGCCCTGTCACACTCCAACCGACACACCTACCCACCCACCCTTGCTTCTCCTGCCCTTGAGGGACTGGGAAGACGCAGAGCTCCCAAGCACTGCATGACTGCTGGGTCTTCCAAGTTCGAGGCCAGGTCCTTCAGCTTACAGGTTTCTTCAGTGTGAGGCCAAAATGCAGGGGCACCAGCTGGGGCTGGGGTCTGAGTCTGCTCTGGTGTGTCCTTAAGCCAGATTCTCACTCTTGGGACTGATAGAGGCAGAGTCAGACAGAGGTTTTTATAGAGGCTCCTGTGGCTGCTCCCAGATAAGCGGAGGTGCTGCCCCCAAGAGCAGCAAGGGGACCCTCCCCAGGAGCCCCGAATCTGTCAGAAAATAAAAGGACAGCCCTGCCCACCCAGCTCCCCTGCAGCCCGGCAGCCCACTCTGGCCTCTCACCAGACTCCCATGGAAAGCTGCCTCAGTAACAAAGAGCATTTTCTTACCCTGCCCTGGCAAGCCATAGAGGCATCACCAGGAAAGGCAGAGCACAGAGGGGTGGGGGTGAGGACAGGCAAGCGCAGGTGGTTTGCAGAGGGCCCCCTGGGATCAGTACCAGGGAGCCCAACATACATGATTTATACCAAGCTGGGCTGCTGCAGCCATGCAGCGTGAGGAAAAGCCTGCACCTGCTGCACTTGCACCACCCCAGGTAAAGCTGGAGCCCCTGGCATCAGATTAGGGCCGGAAGGGCTCCTTCCGCTGATTCAGTGGCTCTCTACTTTGGCTGCAAGTTAGAACCACTTGGGTGCTTTTAAAAGTCACCACATTCATACCACTTAAATCAGGATTTCTGGGGACACGGCCCAGGCATCAGTGATTTTTAGAGACTCCAGGTGATCCTGACGTGCAGCTGAGTTTGGAGACCAGTGCTCTAACTGGAGCCCCCTTTGAGGAACTGGCCAGAGGGTGCGTTACTGCAGGCCGTGGTCTCAGTGCTGTTTTCCTGATTCTCCACAGGAAGGGTCCTGTAGAAGCAAAGCCGGAGTGCCAGGAGACAGAAACGAAGCCAGCGCCAGCCGAAGTCAAGACGGTCCCCAACGATGCCACACAAACAAAGGAGAACGAGAGCAAAGCATGACGGGTGACGAGACACCAGCAAAGATCAAAATTAAAAGTGACACAACAGCTTCACCAGAGCATCTCCAATATCTCATACACACACACACACACACACACACACACACACACAAACACACACACACATCTCATTCCTCTAGTGTCTTTTGCCTTTAAAAAAAAACTAAGCAGATCAACGTGGGATCTCCTTTTTGTAGGTTTATAGAAAGGGTTCCTTTGCTGCGCACTCACTTGTAAGAAAATG